GTTTTATGATCACTGCTCTTCCAAATTTATATCAATGATACAGATTCTGCTATGCTTAGTAAACTAGGCTTTCAAAAGGTATTCAGTGTGTGTTTGTCTCCCTTCCCTGCAGATCAGTCTTTTCAAATCTTGTCTTAAAACTCAACTTTATACTGGTGCTTGTAAAATGTCATTGTGACAGGAATAGCCTAACAGGCATCTTTTTTAGTCTCGAAAGGAGAAGACTTTGAGGGGACCTGATTCAATTATTTAAAAAATGGAATTCAATGGACTTCTTCAGAGTGAACAGTGAATTTGAATGGGTATCAAAGTCTGTGTCAGGCTTGGTGACCATAGCAAGGACGAAACAGAACTGAAAAGTCAAGAAATTTGCATATCTTGTTTTACTTCCTTCATTGCTTTTCAAATATGTTAATTTCATTAGAATGTCAAGGTTTTTATTTTCAGGCAAGAAAATACCATATTTTGTGCACTCAGCACTTCAATCACTGTTCTACATTGACTCATTTCCTTCAATACTAATTTGGAAAGACTCTGAATACTGTAGGTGGCCTATGGTTGTGTACACTGCTGCGTGAAGAAACACTAAAAATGGACTTTAAAAACACATTTTCAGGTGATCCAAAATGACCTTGTAGGTATGTCATCAGAAAAAATGAATATTCTTAAATTAACCCTATTTATTACAATATTTTCAATAAAGTTGCCAATGAAGTCTCAATAAAGTTACATTTCAACACTGTTTACCATGAACACTGTTTATAACACTGATATTATGTTAAATTGAAATAATAACTGATGTTCTATTAGGAGACTTCCCAAATCCCTCCAACAGGAAGCATCAGTTTAAAGTCCCAGAAAAAATAAGCCTGGGGTATTCATTCACATCCAATTAATGAAAGTACTGAATATTACAGTCACAACAGGTACTGATCATAACTTAAGAGTCTTAAGCCATGAACGCAGCTAATGAGCAACATACACAGTACTCTGATGTACTCTAAACAAAGAGACAACATCTCTTCCCCTTGGCTTCACTGAACCATAGTTTGAGACTCATTTGTCTTTTTGAACATATTTGCTTTGAGACTCATTTTTTTCATATTATAATTTACTGAAACCCGTGCATTGAGCCTCATGGGACAGGTACAATTCATAATTAATAACAACTAAATTTGTAAATACAAACTACGTTATGCTCTTACCTACCAGAATTATACATCTCTAAACATTTTGTTTAGAGCACTTAGAATTTGATTTGGAAAAAATTGCAGGTAAATCAATTGACACTCCTTGAAACTGTGCAATTACTGTTATCCATTTAATAATATGTAACAGAAGTTATATGGTGTTGCTTAGGACATCAGGCAAGTATTAGAAACTTTTAAAAATGTTGGTCATCTTAGAAATTAGTATGAAAACACAGATGTAATATCGAGTCTCTACCTGCTGATTTGTAATCAAATGCATCGTGAGTGTATGTGCACCAATAGATTTTTCAAAACATTCAGCTGAAGAAGGTAGGCAAAAACAAAATAACTGTCATTCTATCAGAAGATATGTTAAGCAGTTCTCAAAGTACAGAAATTCAAGGTGAGAAAATAAGGGGGACTGTGAAGATAGAGATAAAATGACATTGCAGTAGGCCCTGAACTCTCCTAAAGGTGAAAAGCAATGTGTCACTTAACCCCTGGTCATCATTGTAGGCAGTTATATTTGATTGTTATTTCCTTTCACAGTTGCTTGATTGGGTCAATGTCCAGTGAGACAGCAGACTAGTGATCCTGATCTGAACTGGATAGCCTTGAATGACCCACGTCATTTAAGGTCAAGCAGGTAATAGAGTTAAAATAGTAAGTAATTATTTTGATGTTACTACATTGACAGGTGTAGCACAATTCTTCAAATGTGATACAAAAACAATTATCTACAGTCATGTTATCACAGGCATAAATAGCCTAATCATAATGCTAACCTCCAAATATGCTACTAAATATGAGTATATTATTGAGATCATGTCTTGCTCTTATACAGACCTCCTTTCACCATTTACACACTGACAGAAATGTAAAACTGGAATTCATCAGAGAACATCATCCTTACTATTCATGTTGATGAGCAGATTGCACTTTGAGTCATGGTGATACCACTATAGAGGAAAAATAATTGTTGCTGTTGTTGTTGTAGGGCATAAGTGATCCCTTAGGAAGTACTGTACCTCCAAATCTAAATGTCATGCCATTGGATTATAACACATGGTTGCTCAGGGCTGGAGCACTGATCACGCTCATAATGCAAGTCTCATATGTTATACTTTAGCTATACTTGTTTATCCTGTTCTTCAAAGACAGTGTTGAATGAAGCAGTTAATTTGCTTCATTTATAATAGGGTTTTACCATCATATACAGTGCTGGAGTTGTGCTGGTGTTGATATACTTCACAAAACAGCTAAATCTCATATGAGAAGAGCTCAATGCATTTTAGTGGTGCAAGTAGACTAGATGTATAAGAGATATTGCTGGGGACAATGAAAGTATTATGTTCAGAAATCTGCACATAAGAAATGTTAAAAGTTGTGTAAACCTTGGGAAGTATTCAGTAATCTCAGTCATAGATTGCCTGAAGACCAGGTATTGGTGGCACACATTTTTATTCTAGTTTTTTTTTATTCTATACATAAATGTGATATGATATACATATATAATTGTATAATACAGGCCTACTGTTGGAATATTGCCAATTGCCAACAAAAAAATTAAGGTGTTACAATTATTTGCATATACAAAATGCAGAGTTCCACTGACTCATTTATCCTCATTCACCTTGTAACTTGTTTTGACTACGGTGAACCATAGAAAAATAAACACATGGGCTTCATTGTAAGTGAAAATGAAACAATTAAGCAAGTTCGACTCACCGCCTACTATTCTCCAGTATTTAAATTGCAAAGTACTATTAAGGCAGGAAGTCGATATTTATCACTAGCTCCTACTATAATAACAGTGTCAAACCACTGAGGAAAACAACAGTGAAATTTTGCCTTTAAAAAAATTAAATAGTCAATAATACATCTTAGATTTTACATTAAAAGAATGTTTGTTTGCTTTTTTAAAAAAAAAATATTGTATGGTATGTATATCATGCTAGCTCACATCATAGTAAAGCTAATCAACCTCAGGCAACCCCAACCAGTGTCAGACCTGCCAATCAGGCCTTTGCTGTGACAACGAGACATGGAAGGAAATCAATCCCACCCAAGGCCTTTTGATATCTGCCTTTGCAATATTACAGCGCACATTTTTAGTGTGTCATTACCTAGTTTCTGCATTTCCCTTGAGTGATTCTTGGTTTTTGGATTTCCCCCTGTTCTAATCTTCGCTTTTTGATTTTCCCTTTGGCTTCTCACTCAAGTTTTTCTGTTTTTTTTTATTAAACTTTTGCCAGTGACCCAGTTTTTGTCCTTAGATCTACTATCCTATCTACTACACTATCCTATACTATACTTCCTTTGTTTGTGTTTTCACAGTGTTGAACTCTGACTGCTTCCGCCTTAGTGGTGGTGGAGGGGATCCCCATTACCTATAGAACGCTTTAAGTGGATTGTCCAGAAAAGTGCTATATAAGTGTAAGGAACTATTAATTAATTATTACACCATACTAACTACTCACCTGCCATTGGATCTATCTTCAGTTCTGGAGTGCATCATTTAAAGTAAGTGCATCTGTATTACAATGTTAATTTATTTTATAAATCTTAATTTTCACATTCCCTCTGTTAAACTGACAATGGTGTCAGTAATGCCACAATACAAAGAAAGCAGAGGCAAAATATAATTTCACAGTTGTGGAGATTTTTCAATACTACCAACTCCCTTTCTCTTACTTCAGTTGGGGAAGATGTTACTGATCACAGAAGAAAATACAGTACTTATTCTTAACACTGCCCCAATTTCCAATTATAGATGAACTATGTCCTGCTTTTGGTAAAATTAAAAAAAAATGTATGCACAATCAACTTAACTTAAAAAAAACAAGATATCAAAAAATAATGATAGTCTGTAATTTTAGGTAATACAATGAGAAAAACAAATGTATTATTATCAGGGAGCTGTTTAAGAGCCAATTGTTCCAGCTTTTGATAATGAAACAAACATTTGGTAATAACAAGTATATACATTTTGAGATCCAGTGATTTTTCAACACTTGTAAGACCACAATAAACTGAAATATTGCAATGTATATTTTCCATATACATTGAATGCATATTAATCTTTTTCAAGTTTATTGCCAGTCTTACACATGCTACCTGCTAAACAAATAACATCTTAAGGTTATTTAACAACATTATAAGGTTTCACATACAGACAAAATAAAACGTAATATAATGAGCTACTGTGCTATTAAAAACAAAATGAAGAAGGACTTACTGTTGCCACCATGTCTATATAACATCTGCTTACAAATACTTTTGGATTGCCGATTGTCTGCAATTTGTTTCTTGCATGGGGCTTATGGTTTTTCATTATATTACTGAAATCCCCTTTGGGTGCTCAAATAAGTATTTGGGCATATGTTGCACCAGTATATATTGGAGTTACAGTACAATAAGCAAATATTTCTTGCATCCAACACAAGGAAGTTGAATAAATGGAGTCTATATTATATTAGTATATTATGTAATAATTCAATATTATTACATAAGATCAATAATTAGCACCTTATTGACTTACAAAATCTAACAGCACCACCATGCATGGGTATAGCAAAAATAGCTAAAAAAATTTAATTCTTACGTAAAGTAGCCACTGGTTCAGTTTTATTCATGACCAGAAGTAGAAAAAATATAAATTTATACTAATGCAGGTCCTGGTGACCCACTCCTTTAGTGACAGTAAAATACTTGATTGTATTTACTATTGAAAAAGGAATGTATGAAATCAATATACCTTGTTATATTTGCAAAGCAGAAACCATTTGTTAAAAATGAAGAGACATAAAAATATTACTGCATATCTCTACTGGAAACCATAGGAAGCTCTAACTCAATTGTAAAATGATATTTACAGCAGAGGTGAACTACTGCATACAGCAAACTTTTATTATTATAATTGCATTCATGGACAGTTTCCCAGCAATTACACCTAGATCCATACTGTAATTCTAAACAAAATATACAGTTTTGTCTTGCAAATAAAATTATGTATGTTTGAAAAAAATGCATGACTAATGCAAAGTTCCCTCGCAGAGCCAAAAACCTCTGTGTTACTTCTTGGATTTCCCTGACCTAACCCTTCTATAAGCACCTGTCAGGGGGCCTGAGCACTACACAGTGGTCCCTTTTCAACTGTGTAAACATGATGTCGTTTTCCCCCAGACAGCCAGCCAATCTGCCCTCATGAACTCAAGCGGAACATATCCATGAAACTCTAACTTGCTACCTTGTATCCAGAGGAACCTACACTACAAGTTAATGTCTGTAGCTGACCTCACTGTCTCTCACTGTACAATAAGGTCTTCGCGCTGACTATACCCTGAGTCAGAGATGCACCAAAGAAGAAAATAATTGCTGTTAGTGTTACTAGTCTTCAGATTTGAAAGCCTAATTGCTTTCTTGCTAAACAGGAGCTAATCAAGAGATACTATACTAAGTATCAGCCATACACAGTATACTGTATATCGGATTTATGTTCAGCTTGGTTTTACTAATATTCATATACAGAACTTACATACTTTAATATGCTACATTCACTATCATACTGAGGTTTCACAATAGGTCATATAAATTATGACCTATTGAGACAACATTAATATTACATTCCATTAATTTAATCATTCTTTGGAAAAAATAAACCAATTCATTCTTTATCTACTCTGTTGTTTATGGACCACCTGCGTATTACACAATAAAAAATGTATATCATCTAATTAGTCCTAACCAAGCCTCTAGTCACCAGGTAAGAGAGAATAGCTGTTAAACCAACTCTATAATGTGCTTATAATTTAAAATAGGGACATTGTTAGCTGGAGATTGCAGTTGTTAACCAAGCAGATTGGAAGCCAATAAAATGAAACACGAAATTAAGCTTAAAACAGTTGTTTTAGTTATGTAATGATTTTAAAAAATTGTCACACACAATGTATTAATTTTGTTTACCACCTTCCAACTTTTAATTCTGTACTGTACCTACTTTTCACACAAGGATTTGCTCTTTATTCTTTGCAAACTTGCTCAAACTGGCAGAATGATTGGGGATAATTAAAAAACACAATTTTTTTCAAGTCTTGCCACAGATGTTCTATCACATTCAGTTCAGGACTATAACTGGGCCACTCAAAGATGGTTAATTTCTTCTTGTTAAGCCACTCCAGTGTGAATTGTCCTGCTGAAAGGTGATTTTTCACATCAGTTTTGACTCTTCTGCAGACCAAAGCAGGTTTTCCACTAAGATTAGCTTGTATTTTTCTCCATCGACTTTTCCCTTAATCTTGACAAGGTTCCTAGTCATTGCTGATGAGAACCAGTCTCATAACATAATGTTACATGCTCGCAATATAATTAAAATGGTTTGTGTTTTTATTAATGACTTCCTTCTTGTCACTCTGCCATATAGGCAAGCTTTGTGGAGTGCGTGGGACATTATTGACTCATGGCTATTTTCTCACATTTCAGCCACTGATTTCTGTTGCTCTTTCAAACTTGGTGTTGGCTCTACGGTGGAATTCTTAACTAACTTCTTCTTTGTCTAGCTCCTCGGTTTGAAAGGACTAATGATAGATGCACTCAAAGGGATATTCAATATGTCTGAACTGTTTTATAACCTTTTACTAATTTGATTCTTCACTTTTTTCCCCTGAATTGTTTGAAGAGCTCCTTGAACAAAGTTGAATCTTTGTTTGAAATTCATTGACTTAGGGATGTTACAGAGGCAGGAGTATTTATTCTGAAAACCACTATTTACTTATTTGTTCAAATTCTAATAATGACAAAATGAGCCGAGAAATATAAAGAGATTGGGTGCTTAGTACCTTGGCTTTAACTAACCTGCCAGAGAAAATGATAGTATTCTAGTGTTGTCACATCCCTCCTTATGAGGCATGAGCCAGGAAGAACTGCTGCAACTCTGATTATGATTAAGGGAGGTGTACAAGAAAAAATGTGTGCAGTGACGTGCTCAGCCAGTGCGCTTTTATGTGTAAGGAAGAAGTGCAAGATTAGAATTTGACCTCCAACCAAGCTTCTGTTCAAGAGCACCATTTCAGTTGTTTGGTCAAATTTGAATACTGACAAATTGAGCCAACACTATAAAGGGATAATGTGCATAGTGCTTTGGCTGGCTTTAACTAGCCTGGCTGAGGAAATGATAGTGTTGGCCGGGTGATCAGTCCCCTGTCACATCCACCCAAAAGAATTCCCAAAACACAGAGTCAGATTTTGAATACTGAGCTAAGAATGACCTTGAGCGTAACTGAGGAGAAGTTGCGTTTAATGACTGAAAAGTGTATTTGCTGCAGGTTTGCACTTTCTTGAACTGGTGGATTCAGGTATGAAGGGCATGAGAAGCATTATGCTGTGGGTGACAAAATGTGAATCAGCAGACAGTGGCAGAATTTGCAGCTAGCAGCTGTAGTAAATTTGGCTAACTTGGAATGGAAGTCTATGGTGGGCAGTGGAAGTTGCTCTAGAAACAGAACAGAGATACAGATGTTGAAGTTTGGTAGATGTAATGGATAAAAAAGTATTCTGATCTGAATGCTGAATCCCTAAAATCCTTAATCCCTAAAAGAAAAGGAATATCAGCTATGTACTGTATCTGGTTGGCACTTTGGGAGAGAACAGTTGAGGGCCCACATCGTCCACTTGGACACCAACCAAAAAAGGTGGAGTTGGTTAATTGGCGAGGGTTTGGAGTTTAACCTATCGCTGAAGTTGCCTGCACTAGGGCCGCAATGTGGGGGTGAATGAGGAAGCCCAGATTCAATGCAGACCGATGCCATGTGCTGGCAGAGTAGACAGAGTAGGAGTCATCGACTTACTCCTGTGGTGGAGAGTAAAAAGAAGGATAAGGGACAGGGGAAGAGACAAAACTACAGATGTGGTTTGTATGTTTTGTGGGTTGGACACACAACCAGACAGAGAAGGGGGGAAGGAAAGGGAATGAAGCAGGCAAGATTAGGAAGAGAGAGAGGAAAGGGGAACGGAGACAAAACTGACACATTTTCTCAGAGTTTCTGGAAAGCTGGCAGACATCAGGGCACCTGAAAGAAAAATGCATATGGTATGGTGGGGTGGGGGCAAAGTCACTTTTTTTGGTGGAAAGTTGAGGGCACCTGAACGTGATTAGGGTAATATTCCAGCAACAGTGAGTACAAAACACATCCATCAGCAATGAAGTGAAACACAGAGTACTAGAAAATGTGCCGGGGAGATTCTATGTACAGAAAAAAATCTGAGATTAGAATTTGGTCTCTACTTCTGATCCACAACAGCATTTTATATACAGAAGCCATTCTGCTACTTGTGTTACATTTCAAAATAAAATGAGAATTGAATTAATTCAGATTTTCCATAGCAAAGGGCATGAACACTTATGTATTTTAGATTCCTTTTTACAGTACCAGTTTTTTGTTAATACGCAACTCTTTAACCTATAAACGTATTCTGTTTGAGAATGTATATTTTAACAAAAGAAGTATTCACTCTAAAACGTGTACACAAACATGTATGCATCACTTGTAATTTAACAAAACAGAGCAGCAGTGGAAGGTGGTGGTCCTTTTGCAAGGCACCGTATATAAAGGTAATTGGAATAAAACTATTCCATTTCTTAATCTAAACTGAAGGAATATTATCATCTCTGGTTTCTGAAGGATATATGGTGGGCTCACATTTTTTAAATCTTTTCAAATGGAATTGGATATATTACAGTATGTTTATATATTGCAAAGAAAATCATTAGGTGTACACATACTGTATGTAAAAGTGCTCAGCAGAATTAGTGAAATCAAAAGGTTTAACACAAAGTCTCCATTAATTCAATATACACATCCTTAAGCACAAGCACATATAGATAATTTTACCAGCTTAATATCAAAGGCCAAACCAATGGGAGTGCAACAGAAGGCACAATTTTACCTATACTTAAGAAATAGAAAACCTAAACTCACTAACTACAGTATATGCATAAAACTGTCCAATACTAAAAATGTCCAATAAGTATCTAAGCGTCAAAATCATTACTACTTTTCACAACTCATTCCATATTTATGTTTAGTTCCCTCATTCAGCATTTGTAATAAAATATTCACACAATCAAAAATCAGTCTTTTTTTTTCATTTCCCACTAATCGCTGTCCATACACATTTTTTGGAATGGTGACAATTATAATAGTGGAAATACCCCTGTTTTCTGTTTATTAGTAGAGAGTATTGAAACTGTCACTGTTTGTAACTATATTTTCCATGGTGCATTCAGTGGTTTATTGGGGTTTCCATGGACAAACTGAAGTGAAAGTACAATCACAGGTCAAAATCCTCCATGGAAGGAAGTTCAAATCAGTTTCCATTTTAAGTGCTTGTTGTTCCATCCCTTAATGGTAGAATCAAAGTGCTTATTGATTTTACTCAGAATTTCCTGTTTGTTTACTCTCTCTCTCTGCCTGTCTTTTATCTGTGCCCCGCAAATTAAACACTCACTCCTTTAATGTTTTTGTGCTTAGTGATGGCAATGGGTGTAATAAAATTGTGTCATTATTTTCCTTCTTTTTACTTTTGTCTAAGTGAGCTTTTGAGAATAGCACTGAAAAAAATTGTTTGCAAAATCTAATTAACCTGTTAACCTGTTTTAATTATAATTATTTAATAGTAACATATGATAAAAGGGAAAAAAAGAATATACCTTATGTGATTATTTCATGTTCTAGGTTATTCATGTTCCCTGGAGCTTTACATTGCTATTTAAATTTGTTATCATGTTAGAGAAGTCAAAAGATTCATTATTCTATAAATTAAAGCATGGGATTCAGCTTCTCAGCACGAGCCTCATCAAATATAATGCTCTAATGATGCTGATTAATTACTGAGATTTGTATAAATTATTTATATAAATTATTAATTTAAGCATTTTATTTTTCAAATCTCTTTTGAATTTGCACTTTTTTAATTAAAATAATGTTGAAAGAGTGTGTACTGTGAGAGATGTTCACATTTACAACCTCCCCCTTTTCCCTATTATTATTGAACATGTTGGGCACCTTGCATTAAGTAAATAGTATCCTTAACCACCTCTGTGCATTTGCTTAGTGTACTTGCTGTTGTAAAAGCTTGCAGGAGGAAGTGGAATAATCCAAAGAGAATAGAGGAAATGGTTGCAAATAGATAAAGCGGTTTGACAGTAAGTAAATCTAATTGCTAGTAATACCCTAGGGCCCTCCTCTCTACCGGATGACATCTAAGCTTTTAAATAATGCATTAAAAAGATTTACGCAAGTAATGGTTAGAATGTTAGATTGGACAAACTCTTCAGTTCATCTCCTGTTAAAGCTCCGGTTCTATATTTTATGCCGATGCCATTCAGTACATACGGAATTGCCCTCTTTTGAACACACTAAGTAGGAATACGTCTTCTTTACAGTATGTTTCACTTTAAACAGAATGAACAAAGTGAAATTAAAAGAAACAAAACTAGCTGTATGGCGGGTCAATACAAGTCAAAACGTGAGGCACGTGTACACTTTAATAAACAACCTACGCTTGTTTTTTTTATGGCTGAAAAGGTGCGGCAGAAGGATTGTAATATGATCTGTTTTCCAGACCTTCCCCAGTGCAAGGCGGCTGCAGTAGTAAAAGCCTCTGGTGCACGTCCTGTCTCGTCTCATCACATAAGGAACACGAATCCTTATTGTGATAGGCACGGACCCCCGGGGCGGCTGAGAAAACTGCGGAATAAGAGTGCAGAAAATGAACGTGAGCTTCTCAAACACGCAGTTAAACGCAGCAGACGCTGATGTCTGTAGTACCGCAAGCCTAGTAAACAAGCGCACATGCTTCTGTCGAAGTGGGAGACGCCCCTCAGACTGGCTCCTGAAAAACAGCCTGTGTATTTTGCATGCAGTGTTGCCCAGTTGTGGCTTTCAATAGCTATTTCGTTAAATACAACTGAGGCCAAAAGCCTCTAATAAACAACTGTGGAAGAAATATACACCCATATACTGTAGTTATCTGTGTACCCAAAACAGTCTCTTGTCAAATCCTGCATCCACTGGAAAGTAATTCGAGCACAGGAGCCATTTCACGATATAAATTAAAATACAAGCCACAATTACTGTATAGTAGTGCAAAGTAAGCCGAGCACTTGTAAATTGTCTGTATTTTGTGAACGATCTGCGTTTCACACCACGGTCATGTCTGAATAGTTACTTGTTTAATCAAAAATGTTAGACTTTCTTCCGCATTTATTGTTAATTCATATAAAGACATTTATTTGTATACAAAAGGTGTACCGAACTTGTATTTAATTCCACGATTCTGAGCAATTTAAGGAAATATAATTATAAATATTCGTGTTTTATGTAAACATACAACTTACGTTTTGTACTTAAAAGCTTCTTTCTCTGTCTCTGCACTTCAGTAATGTCATTAGTAATCGCAAACTACTGCACTGCAGATTCATCACAAGACGTACGGTGAGGTTAATACAAAAATCGTTTAACTGAATCAGACATAAACCTCAGGAAATGCCGGCTTTGTTTTTCTCTGTATCAGTGACATATAACAAAGCGGGTGTTTTGACAACCTCTCACAAGGAAATTAAAATTTGTGCTGTGTTCGTAAAATTCAATACATTTGAAACGTGAAATTCAGATTCTGTCGTTATCTCATACGCAAGGAGGAAATGGAGATAAAATCAAATACGAAAATGTTTTAAAGGCACTCTGCCCCACATCAAAACACAAGTTTGAAGAGTCAAAATAATTCTGAGGGAATGTGATATTATGTTAATAAAAAAATCAACACATATGTTTAATTTGTGTACTTTCCTGTACAGCTGTGTGTATCTTTGTATCCAACTGTCAGGAATAGTTTTATCCTTTCAACAACTCTCATAGTCTCCCGCATTACCTACACTGAAAACGTCTGGATGTATGAGGTAGACCAGTCAATTCCAGAAGATTTCAACAATTTTTGAACTAGAAATCCAACATATCAGAGTATGTCTGGAGCCACACCCACATTAAAAGACCCAGAAGGCTCATTAAAACCACGATGCAAATGTATATGACCTGCTCTATACAAGTACTAACAATGCCCTTGTTGTTAGAGCAGCTGCCTTCTATCAGATCCAGGGTGGTGCAGAATGTTTCTGAACATTTGATTAAACACTGTTTTCAGTGCACAGCATAATTAAAAGTACCAATGTTCCTTTGTGTCTTTATCATCAACATTTTGGAACAGTTCTGTGTATACCATTGGATCATGTTCAAATTTAGCTTGACAAACATAAATTGCAGAGTTTCCACAATTGCAGAAACAAACTATATTTTGAAGATAGGCTATAGGCAGAAGAGTATAAATGGTGAGAAAGGCCATTTTTAGTTTTTTAGTCCTACTTTAGTGTAAGCAGCAGCTTTCATCTGAATTAGTGGATCTCAGTTCCCAAAGGAATTATCCCATATTGATAAATATGAATTTATACCATTACTCCTTCCATTAATGTTTTATACACCAGGTGTTTGATCATTACTTCCTTCTTTTGGTTTATCTACCTATACAACTGATTAATGCCCTTAATATATAGTTTGTCCTTCCCAAATTGACTAGTATTTTGTGACTGATAATATCCCCTAATTTGTAGCATTTAAATAAAGGAGATAGAAATGTTCACTATTGTTCATTACTAAGAACATGATTAAAAAGGTGAATGTGCTTCTGTGATACGTTTAAAGACTTTCAATTTTAGTGACTTTCAACATCGTTTTAACAAGGGACTGTAACAAGTCTTCATACATTTTAGGGGTTTAAAATGCTTCTTTCTCCTGTGTATGTGACACAGGACGTGCTTTTGTTCTTAATATTTTGTAATAAAATGAAGCTGTGGTCAGGAAGATATATTACTGTATTTCTATAAATATGTTTATTTTCTGTATAAATATTGACTTATTATCAGACACAGTTAAAATCAGAAAATATTTCCCCTAAGTCTAGATAGGTTAAGCTAATAAAAACATAAAGAGCACATTTAAAAACATATTTAAAAACATATTTAGAACCTAACAAAAGGTACAGTATGCAGGACTGCCCAATTTTGACTATATCTTCCTTGACTCCAACAAACTTTGTTCTTTTTTATTACTTTGTCAGAAAAAATCTGCTACTAAATTTTCTGTTAAAATGTTGACTTTTACTTGTATTAACAGTTGTGTTTCAGATAATGTGGTAAGAACTTTGTATAATTTCTCCTCAGTTGTTTTAAAAGAATGATTATGTTCTTCACACACTTTTGACATTTTAATGGCTTATATTTACATTATTTTAACCACCCCAAAATAACAAGATCCTAAAAATATAAGAAAACAAATCACTTTAAAAGCCATCTATTTATATCACTGTCAAAAATGTGTAAGTGTATCTTGACAAACAGAAAATTCTCAGCATTTCATATTGCAGAAACAAACCCTTTCCTGTAATTGTGAGTAGTGTGCTGTGAAATATTTTTTGTATTGGATCTTATTTAGACTGTTGATTAAATAGATGTGGTGGCAGCAGTGTTTGAGGAAAACTAGAGAGACAAATAAATGAATCAGATGAATTTCTCTGTCTAACGTGTCTAATGTGATGCTTGCTAGTCTGGTGATATCAAATGTTGACATCAGTAGTGAGGACATCTACAATCTTATGTTTGGGTAATCACCAGCTCATCTTGTGTCTGTGGCTGAACAATACTAATATGTAAATCACAGCTAGTGTTCCTGACTTATTCAATGGATTTGTGATCTGGAGATCTTTTTAGGGCAAGCTATTCTGTACATAGCCTGCTTTTCTAATTACTAACAATTTCATAATTAATTTTGTGACATAATGAAGGAATCCATGTCACAAAAAAAAGGTTTTACAGAATGGCCCTAGATTTCATCACTGTATCTCATATATCAAACGTATTATTCCATAAAACATACGCATATAGACCTATTTTGATCAAAGTAAAATAAAAAAAATACTGCTGTTCATCTTTAAGGGCTTAAATGGTTTGGCTTCTGACTACACCAGGGAACTGTTAACTCCTGTACAACTACAGTACGTACCAAGGCTACAACCTACTTGCTTTCTTAACTCATATCCAATTTTGCAAGTTAGCCGGAAATTTCAGATCCAGTTTTAAAGGCTACTGTTATTCACTAGCTTTTATATAGCTAAGGTTCACCTAACATGTTCTGTAGTCTAATTCAGCCTGGCTTGTACATAACATCTATGAAAAGGCACACTATGTAACTAGCCTCTTTGACCTCAATTCTGCATCAGGTATTCTATCCTGCATCATTTACTCTATGCATAGATATACAGTATGAACACCTGTGGCACTTCTGTGTTCGTAAAATAGCACTTAGTGGCTGAGCACCATATTAAAATAATCCTGACCTGCTCCAGCTGACCTTCCACAGTCTTCACAATGCTGCCACACCCAGGAAACCACACTCTCGGATATGTGCTGGATTGTTTATATATGTATCTTTGTAAACTCTTTATTTTTCTACCTCATATCATTTTTCAAAACAAGCTTACAATACACACAATGGATAAGTTTTCCGATCTACATACCATGAAGCTAGAGAAAATCTTTGTTTTTAAATGCCTTTTATGCATGTGGGTGCTATTATTTTTAATATCATTCTTGCATCCTTGAGCACCAGGACACTGCTCTGTACTTTGTTTTCTTTTAATGTCTTGCTTGATAGATCATGTTTTCCAGTTATTCATAATGAATGTCATTATTTATTAAAGGACAATCTGTGATTTACAGTGTTGATTGTTGGCTACAAATCTTTCTTTCATAAGAAGCTTAATGATACTTTAGATACTTATCTGAAGATTGATGAGTTAATAAATCCAGCACTGGTACTCCTGCACATATATGTGCATATAAAGTGGCACATTTATGTGGAGGGTACCTGAAGCAATAACTGCAGTAATTACCATAGGATTGATTTCCTACTTCATGTATACACTTGAGCAGACATATATTTCATTTTTAAATGTTGAATTCACAGTCTGTTTAAAGTGCAACATAATTCACTGAGAGTGTTTGTTTTTAGCATCATTGTTTTTAAAATATATTATTTTAAAGAATTGTCTGGTCTATGTTTTAGTTTCAGTTACTACAGAAACAGGTTACTGTATAGCTAAAAGATGTATGGACAAAAGCATTTGTCATCCATCATAAAATATGCAAAATATACAATTACTCTCTGTGAAGGAGGTTGAAAAATCACTTTCTTATTAATAACATTAGACACAAAAATTATGATCTTTAACAAACTACATTACACTATCATGCATTAAATAGTTTGCCACTACAAAATAGTAATTTGTCAATTACCAAGACAAACTGCTGGTCAACCCATCTAGTGAAAAAAAAATCCAAATTTTGAAGATACCGTGAATATCAATTCATATTCTGTAGACTAACGAAGAAGATAAAAAGATTGTAATCAATTTGAAGTATGAAAAGTAGCAGAAATGTTTGAAATTGTCTTAACAAAACAATAACAAAAATCTGTTATTGTGAAACACAAGCAAACAATCACAACATTGATCCTGCCCTGATATAGGTAACTAAGACTGAGACAAAACATGTATTCATAAAAGATAACAAGGTGAAACCTGTTGTGAAAAGTTAATTGTATCTACTGTCAAGCATGATGGTGGTTCCATCATTTTTTCTAGGCCTGTTTTAGCTTTTTAGAATCTGTCAAAACCTTATGATACTGAAGGAAACAAATGAATAAAGTTCCAAAACACAGTACTGACAGTACTGAATATTGTATTGATACCTATTAAGTATTAGGTATTGATACCTAATTGTTTATGATTACCAGAAGTGGAATGCAAAGTCTAGCACAACAATAATCTTATAGTAACTGAATTTCTAAAGAGAAAGGAATGGAAAAAACAGGACTGGGCTTTGCAGTCATCTGACCTGAATCTGGCTGCAATACTACAATTGTTCATGCAGTGAATTTTTTGTTAAATAATATACTATTAGCTCTATATTTCTGTTATATTTGCTCTCACTGGAACTCTGGAAAACATGTTAGAATCTCCATGGCAACTGACAGAGTCTCAACTAGACCTGTTAGTTAGCAGGTTGCCGTGACTACGACCTCTGGAAGGATATCTGTTCCACCTGTGTCTAGTTAATTACCACACCTACCTCATTGAGAGCAGACTAGCTAGAATCAGACCTTGGTATTCTTAGTTCACGTTTGATCTCTTGTATGCTGACCATGCTTTGCTTGTGGATTCCTTTTGTGCTTTGTTTTCTTTGTTTTCCTGGCTACGGACTTTCTTCATTTCAAGGACTGTCCAACTGCTTTGTTCCTGTGTTTACCTAGCTATGAATTTTGCCTGAACTACGTTTTTGAAATATCTTTCAGACTGTGTATTGACTCCCTCACTTCTGCCTGCCTGCTTACTTCATCCGCCTATCTGTTTGTTTCACCTGCACATGGGATCTCCTGATTGTCTTGAA